ACGGGAGAGGGCGACCCCGGGGCGTGCGCCGGGCCCGGGCGAGTCCTCACCACCCCCCTGCAGGCGCCCCCAGCTGGGCAGCGCTCGGGCCCAGCGCCCCGCAGGTCCTGCCTGAAAGGGCGCAGCAAGGATGCCCGCCTGGGCCGGGTCTGGCTGGGGGACGTGTCCCCCCGCCCCTGCTGCACCCCCAACCCCGCTCTGGCCTCTGTGCAGCCTCCAAGAAGCTCGCCTCTTCCACCCTCTGCTCTGCTCTGCTGGTCAGGAGCTGTGTGAGCTTGGGCAAGAGGCTTTTCCTCTCTGAGCTGCATCTGCTCCCTACACGTGGGGCGGTTAGCAGCCTCGGCTTTCGCCAGGGTGCCGAGGCTCAGTCACCCACCCGGGAGAGCGTGAGAGCAGAAGCCTCCTGGGGGGCTCACGGGAGCAGTGACCGTGACAGGGCGTTTCTCACCGTCCGCGGGGAGGCAGACTCACGGCCCCCCCAGCGCCCAGTGCTGCCCTCACCCTGGCCCAGAGGCGGGCCTGTAATCACCTCCAAACCAAAACCAGAGAAGCGAGGCCCAGAGGGGTGAAGTGACTTGCCCAAGGGAACACCGCTGGGAAGCGGGGGAACCAGACGAAGCTCTGGCCACCTGGCTCTAGAGCCCACTCTTGCCCCCACGGCTCATCTGCCCCAGGGGCTCCTGCCAGACAAGGAGGCCGCTTCTCCCAGGCAGGACTGCACGTGTGAACGTCCCCTGTGGCCCCAAGGGGCATCACTGACAAGGGAAGTCTGAGCGCTGCTTAATTATAGGCCCCTCCCCGTTTGCCTTATAACATTATTTGATCCTCCAGCTGCCTTTGATGTCAAAGGGGAGAGCGGGAGGGGAACACAGGGCCCAGTCAGGCAGCGTGGGGTGGGTGGCTGGCTCAGGGGAGGCGGGCTGTGAGAAGCCTGCGGGTCCTTCTCAGGCTGCAGCAATGTGTACTGGCCCCTGGGGGTCTTGTCCTGTGCTGGGACTCCCCTTCCCCTGCACAATGGCCTGGGAGGAAAAAGCAGGGAGTCCTTGTGTTTCCAGTCCTGTGCGCACCTGGAGTGGGACAAGCCAACAGTGACGTCAGGCTTGGCGCTGGTTGGGATCAGCGAGCAGCGACTCACGCAGGGCGGGGTGGGTGTGCCGGGCACCCATCCAGGGCGGCAGGGGGGTGCCGTCCAGCAGACACTCGGAACCCCTGGGAGGGTTCCATTGCCTTGCCCTGTCTGACGGGGTCACGTTGACGATGGGGGGTGACCTACCGGGGTGAGTGGGCCCAGCATCTACCGACAGGACACAGCTTGCACGCAGTAGGCTCTCAATAAACGCTCAGCGCATGCATGACGAGCCAGGAGGTCTCTCGGTAGCTCTGGGGCCACTGCTGAGCTCCTGGAAGGTGGTCACGCCACACTAGCCCCTTCCCACCTGGGCGGGCAGGGAGAGGTTTCAACCCTCACAACCAAACACACCCACCATGACGGGCACCAAGACACGCACCAGGAGAAGCCAATGGCTGGCCGGTCACGTGACAGAGAATCCCAGCGGTCACCGCGCAGCGATCACCGCACCGTCTGTGCATGCAGACGAGGGGAGCGGTGGGGGACTCTCCTGCTCCCCTGGGGGTGGGAGGCCACAGCAGCCCCGATTCCCAAAGGCCTGCGCTTCAGTCAGGCCCAGGTGAAAGTCTCTGTTCCAGCCCAGCTACTGGGTTTGCCACCATGCTGGCCACCCTCTCTTCAAGGCGGAAGAGGGCGAAAGCAGAGAGAATCACCTCCAGCCAAGGGTCCTGTGGCCCCGCTGGGCCAGCGCACCCCGTTTCTTAGAAAAGTTTCACCTCCGACTTAGCATAACAAAACTTTTAATTTAGATGTTTCCATCTCTCTCTCCAAGTAAAAATAAGTTTAAAATAATGACTGTAATAAATGAAGGTAATTAATTGTAGTTTGTTCCTTTACTGTCTAGTCAGCTTAATTTTACCTTTTCAACTAATAATGAGAAAATAATTTTTGTGCTCGGAGGGTTAATGATATGTAACTGCGAGAACTGCTAATTGCATGTTGCAATCCATCCATCAACAACCCCATCTGTGCGACTTGATTATGTTTGCTAAATTATTGCTTTGAATTATCTTTCATAAAGCAACTTTTGTAATTAGCGGGGCTTTCGTCTTGCTCTTTTCTCTGCGCGCAAGGATATTCAAACTTTGGCCATTTCAAGCTGTCTCCATTAAGCTACCTTCTCTGGCTGTCTTTGTTTCCAGGAGCAGAGGAATCAAGACTGTCCTCTAAGCAATCAAGGCGGGGAGGGAAAGCTTCCTTGATTCACAGCAGGGCAAATTCACTTCCTCTGCACCCCCCACCAGCGACACACACCACACACACACCACACACACACACACCCCCTCGTATCTATAGAATGAACAGATAAAGAGGATGCCCAGACCCTGTATATCCAGGAGCTGCTGGAGTGAAATTAAGGAATGAACTTGAACGTGTTATATTTCACCAAGAGGCCCGCACTGGGGAAGGAGGGTTGACGGGAACGATATTCAGCCCTGGCGTTTTATGGGCTAGTTTATGTGACTTGGGACGGTGTTTGCCTCCGGGAATATTCCTGGGAGGTGATTAATGCCCACTTGGGAGTCCTCGGCTCCAGCACAGAGCCTGGTGGCTCGAGAGAGGGAAGCGGCATAAAGGATGAATCCTCATTAAAAAAATTAAAATGAAAATCAAATTTGGATTATAAATGGCCTGTGCGTGTGCAGTTTGTTCTGGGCGAAGGAGACGCGTTTTATTAACACCTTGCTAGGGTGGGCCTCCCCCCACCCCCAGACGCAGGGAGGGACGGGTTGGCCGCGTGGAGCAGTCCATAGATCAGACGGAAAGCGGGGGTTTCAGGAGCAAAACTCCAGACAGACACCGTCTTTTCGGCACATTAAAGAGAAGATGGAAAGCCCTCCTAAGAAAATTAACAAAGTTCTTTGAAGCTCCCCAGCTACTAAAACAGTGTCTATTCAACAGGCCACTTGGCTTTACACAAGAGAATTCGGCTTTATCTTCTCTTCTGCCCCCCACCCCCGCCCCATGGGCTCTCTCTCCCTCAACACCTACTGAGTGCCAGCTGTGTGCCAGATTCCATGCCAACTGTCTCCATCCTGCTTAGTTCTCTGAATCCTCACCGTTAGCCTCACTGGCTAAAGTGGGGAGGAACGCTAAAGCTCAGAGAAGTTCAGGAAGTTCCCTGAAGCCACACAGCGAGCCCTGCCCAGGTACTTCCCACTAGGAAGCACTTGCCCCTTCGTGAGCTCACTGCACAAACCCAGCGTTTAATTTCCTCCTTCCGAAAGATCATATAACTCAGGACAGAAAACCATTTTGAGACAAAAAGCCTTCGACACCTAGGTAGGAAGGAAGCAGACTCCAGCCGAGACACAGGGTAGGCCAAGTCACCCTGAGTGGGAGGTCGCCAATGACGAGGGCCAGCAACATAACCGGTTTAACGTCGCTCGTGCTTAATGTCAACCCGGTGGTGTAGGTACAATATTACCCAGTTTACAGATGAGGAAACAGAGGCAAAGAGAGGTCACGGTCAAGGTCGAGGCCAAGCGGCAGAAGCAGGGCCACCTGGCTGCCCCAGTCCGTGCTTGGCCCCAGCAGCCGGGGGCTGGGGGTTCCCGGAAACCTGCACCTCCTGTCTCAGTTAATTTCCAAGCAACACAGAAAGCAGCACACGCCCTGATTCCCATCTAACAGATAAGGAAACTGAGGTGCATAGTGGCGAAGAGAGACGCTCACCCACAGCAGCCAAGCAAGGGTCACCATAGCGAGGTTCTGTGCAAACAGCTCAGTGCTTGCCTCTGGCCGGGCAGAGGGTGTGTGTGTGTGTGTGTGTTACACGCGTGTGCGAGCCCCTCATGAATCGTGAGTCGGCACATGAGACCTCTTTTCAAACACACACACGCGCACAGCCAGGGCAACACACTCCTAACCTTCTTCGTTTCTGGTCCCCCCTCTCCGCCTCCCTTCTAGCCCAGGCCCCTCACAACCAAATGAATCAATACCGGATGGTCCTATAAATAAATAAGCACATCAGTCAACTTGGTAATGAAATGAAGGGCTGGAAAATATGGAAATCGGCGACATTTGCGTAAATCCAGTTATTGTTTACTTTCATATTTGCCTTATGCGCTTATGCAGTTCCAAAGAGACTGATTCAAGTAATGTGGTGTTGGGGGGGATGACAGGCTTAAAAAGCAAGTCCGGGGGGAGCCCCGAGAAGGGCCAGACCTGCCAGGGCCCCGCCTGAACCCAGGGGAGGAGGGAGCAGAGCCCGGATGACGCAGCTTCGGAGCGCTGACCCCTCCGCTGCCCTGCATCAGGGCGAGTCCACCTTGCCTGACCTAGCGCCCAGCCAGACTCAGCATCCCGGTCACAAAGGCAAGCCCCGAGGGCAGTTGGGGAGCTCCAGCCCATCGTGGGGCCCCAGGAACCCAGGAAGGGGAGAGAGAGGATCAGCTGAGGACAGCAAAGCTGCTGCTAGGGGAATGGGGCCTGCAGGGTGGCAGGGAAGAAAGCGAACAGTGTCCAGTTTGTCCTCAGAGAGCAGCTGGTAGAGGGGATTCAGCGTGAGCTGGTGACCGACTGGACTTGTCTACAAGGCTGTCTTCCAGAACCGAACAGAGCAGAAAGCCAGGAGAGGAGAGGACACGGAGCCCAAACCTCTGGCTTCAATCAGCCAAGCGGGCGGGCAGGTGGTTTGCTCAGGGGCACAGGTCTCCATGTGCAGAGCTGGTGTGCGGCTGGGCAAACGCAGGGGGCCCGGCCCTGGAACGCAGGGCCAGAATCCACTAGCTGCCCTGGAGGAGACGGCCCGTGTGCCTGGAGGCTGGCCGGGCTTCACGCCTCCAGAGGCTGCTGGCCGCCCCGGCGGCTTGAGACGGGGTCTAGAGGGCGGGGGTACTTCAGAGACATGCACAGCCGTGGGTCTTACCTCAGCCTGGAAGCTTTTTAACACAGGAGCCACCATCTCTCTGATTTCCTGAAAAAGAGGGGCAGAGTTCACTGCGGAGCCAGAGCCAGCCGCCGGCTCAGTGGCGCCAGTGTTTCCCAGGACGACCCCGGGCCCACGCGCACGCACCCACCATGTGCCCAGGGTGCTGAGAGTGTCCCGAAGCCCAGGGGCGGGGCCACGCCAAGCCTCCACCCTGCGGGCCTCTGGGAGTCCCACACGTGGCAGCAGCTGGGAGAGGAACAGAGGAAGTGGCTTCCCGGGTGGATCTGATCACGGGAGCTCTTGGTGCAAAGGACCCAGGGAACCCCGTCTCCCCCGAGTTGCTCTCCTGAGCGGGGCTGGAGCGTGGTCCCTTCCTTGGAAGACTCTGCCCGGGTGTCTCCGCTTCCCCATCCCATGGGAGCAAAGACGGAGTCAGCAAGGCCTCTCTGTGCCCATCTTGCTCAGTTTCAGGGGGCTTGGGTGGGTCACCCCCCCCACCTGTTCCCAGTTCGGAGGGAGGCTGGAACACACCATGAACTCTGAAGCACTCGGCTGTCTTCAGGAGAAAGGTTGGCCCAGTGACCCCCAAGCCCCTCATCTCCAGACCCCAGTGCCCTAACCCCCATCAGTGACCTCGAGGGGCCTCGACACCGGGGTTTCCTGGTGGAGCCCCAAGCCTCTGGCAGCCTGGGGCTTTTACATGGGCACTGCCAGGTCCTAATCCTAAATGCTCCAGTTTCTGCTGAGGTTCGGGGGGACTCCCCAAGCTGTCACCACACCCACAGGGACTCCCCCGCAGGAGATGGGGGTGGGGCTCACTCGAGCTCAGGTAAAGCAGCAACGTCTTCACAATGAAACAGGCCTCTGGGCAAGACCCGGGGTTCCTCACTGCTTCATGTGCCGGGCTCCTCAGAGCTGCCAGCACCCTGCTGGGACTCGAGGGACATGCTGATGTGATCACCCGAGCCCAGGGTGTGTGGGCTCAACCAGCGGGCTGTGAGCTCGAATTCAGAGCAGCCAGGGGAGCGAACTCAAGGGAGGCAGGCGGGAGGCCCAGGCCTATCTCTGGAGAACACTGCCCCCGGCCCGGGCCTCGCTGTGGCCAGATGTACCAAGCAGCCTCCAACGGCCTGAGAAATCCAGGTTCGGGGGCATGTCCAAGAGGCTGAGTGTTGTTGACTTCTTGTGGCATTTGGATGACTTTCTAGATGAAACGCGTCAGCAGGAAGCCTCCAGGAAACGCCCAGGCTGGGAGGGGCCTCGGAAACCAGTCCCCGAAATCTCAACGAGGGAGACAAAGACCCGGGCTACTGGTCTGTTTGTGGCGGTGAGTGCAGGTCATCGGGCTCCCAAAACAGGCTCTCTGCACAAACCCACCGGCACGTGCATGCAGGGGACGTGGCCAACCCCAGAGGCCCGCTGCCCGCCTGCCTGGCCCTGCAGGCGGCAGGGGAAGAAGCAGCACAAAGACCCGAGCAAGCTGGGAGCCGGGCTCGGCCAGATGATGTTCTGAAATAAAGCCTGGGCATGGATCCCCGGCAGACTAGTGCCGAAGATGAGAATTTTCAGAGGCACGACTATAATAGAGTGGAAACTTATTCTTCCTAATTACATAATTGCATAATTATGCAGTATTAAAATTATGTAAGCTGAACTCGGAGGCCTAAAACCTGGCCTGGATTTCCATCTTCACCTGCGGGCCCCCTGCGGCCCGGGGGCAGGAGGACCCCAAGGAGGGTCTGTCCTGACCAGGGAGCAGGCCCGCAGGGCTGGTAGGTCTGAGGCCGTTTCTCTCCGCTTCCCAGTGACCGGAGCCCAGGGCAAAGCTCTGGGACTCCCAGCTGGGGCAGAAAAATCTGTTTAGAGACCAAACTGTTCTCCATTCTGAGAAGGAAACCGAGGACACATGGCACCCCCTAGTTCTTAGCCAAGGACTGACCCACAGGGAGCAGCGTGGATGGATTCCGCCTCCCTTCCAAGCGCACCTTCCCTCTGCTCTCAAACCCGAGATGCTTTCTAGGCTCGGTCCCGGTTAGACCTCTCCTCTCACTGGCCTTGAACAGAAACTACGACTTGGACCAGGTGAGGATTTCACGGCTCAGATCTGAAAGCTCTGCCCCTGTTAAGCCTGCCTCCTCCCACTCCCTCCTCCTGGGCCCAGGCCAGCGAGAGGGTCTGGACAGGGAACTCCACTTGAGCTGCCCTGAGCACAGCGATGCCCAGCTGGCTGTGGGGTGGCCTGGGTCTCTCTGTCCCATAAGGTCCTGATGGCCTACCTCCTGGCGGACATGCTATGCACTCACAGATTGTATTTTTTCCTATCTGTGTTTATTCCCACGATTTTTTTTTTTTTAAATCTGAGAATCAGCAGGGGGCCTGATAGAGGAGGGAAAGGAATTCACACATTCACCCTGGCAAAGAACAGAAACGTGTCCCTTCTAGCTTCTCCCGGGTGGGGGGGCTGGGGGTGGGTTGGTTATTATCTCAACCACCCTCATGGCGCTGGTGGCTGGAGTAGCAGGAAGGAGGTGAAGGGGAAGGAAGAGGCTTGTGCAGGGGGTGGGAGAGGCAGTTCAGAGACAGAAATGGAGGGGAGGCCCTGAGGGGGTGGCTGGGGTCTATAGCCATCATCGCCCACATGCTAATAGAAAAGCAAAATCAAATCAAGAACTCTGGACAAACTGCCTTCCCTGTCAAGGCCCAGCATTTGACTTGGATATGACTGGTGGTGGCGGTGGGGGATGGACGCTTTGTAGAGGCCTCAGAAACAATGACTTTAATGGAGACGCGTCCTGCACTTACTTTTAGACAGCACTGCTGAGAGCCGCCTATACCAGAAACACCAAAAGGTTGGGGGCTGTAATTTTTCTTTGTGGCTAATTAGCTTCTTTTCTTGTTAGTCACTTATGTCTACAGTTTTCAAAATATAGTTTGAAAGGAGAAAAATCTGCATTCCTACTGAGTTAATTCTATAACAGCAAATATACTGTACCTCAGGTACATTTTTCTTAAATTCCCGGCGGAGTTCAATTAAATGTTTATGAGAATGTTCACTCTCCTCCTGCCGTGCAGACAGCTCAGAAGCGACGGAATTAAGCTCCTTCTGGAACAATAAAAAGAGAGAGAGAGAGAAAAGAAAAAGATTTTTTCCTTCTTTTCCTTTTTAATCATCGTACAAAACAGCATTCCGAACAAGTTTTCTTAACTTACAAAGCTGAGAAAAGACAGGATATTGACTCCTGGCACAAATGAATAATTTACGAAACTGGGGAAACAGCCGAAAAAAAATCCGGGACAGCTTTTTTTTTGCTTGTCGGAAGTCGGGCCAGATCAATAATCTCCCATAAAGTTGGGCGGAGCTGTTTTTTTTTTTCATCTCTCCCCCACTCTCCTGCCCCACCTCTTAAATTTCCAAGGGAGTGATGGCATAAGCTTGTCAGTAACTGTAGAAAACATCTCCAAACCGTGTCAAAATAGTCAAGTGCGGCATATTGTATGGGCATATTATAGTGTAAGAAAGTGCTGTCGACAGCTTTCATATATCAGAGATGGGAACGGCTCCAACTATGACTTACTTACACTTAAGGGTTCATAAATTCGCCTTTTAAGATATAGATGGCTTTTTAATTTCAGTAGATTTTGGAAAAATGAAGGTGCCAATAAGAAGCAAGCTGACCTTTTGTGTATCCTGCAGTAAATCATTTAAGGTTCACTTCGAGTATAAGAAATATTTCACTGGCGGCTTCTGGATTCAGGAGAAATGGGCTGCAAGGGCCCTCTGCCTACTTATGTGCGATGAAGCCGTCAGGCCAGGTTTTTACAGGATGTATGATGGAGGGAGAGACAGTGAGGGAAAGAACGGGGGGCGCTCGGCTCACACGTCACAGACGATGTCTGCCGGCCGCACATGTATATTTGATCACCCCTCCCAGCTCTCTTCACGTTAACGGTGGCAGTTTCACGAGGGGAGTGCAATTCACCACGAGTTGTCATGGATTTCATTTGCATAATTCAAGAAATGCTCTGTTTATGTGGTCGGCTGCTTTCTTGCACCATCCCGAGATGGGTTTTTTTTCTGGACCATAACTCGAGGAGCATTTCTGTATATATCACCCGATTATATTTGCAGCAATCAAGCCCCATAATTTCCTAAATCCGGTGATGCAATAAATTTCTGCAATCAGATTTATTAAAAACACACACGCAGATGCGAGAGTGTATTTCTAGGGTGAACTCTTTAATCTAACATATGTATGATGAGGCCCGGCACCGTGTTGAAAGACCCCATTTGTCATCGCTAATACGCATTCATCTTGCACACACAATGAAACACTTTTACCATTAGATAATGAAATAAAAGTACTATTAACCCGCTGCAAATCCTTTTCCCTCTAAGAGACGAAATGCACAGTAATTGTCTTATATCATGTCTGAGAGTCGGTAAATCTGCTCAATAGCAGTTCACCATAGCATCATAAACCTCATATCCATCTGAGGCTGGGAACCCCAAACCTGGTACAAATGACTCTACCTACGGAATGCTTGGGAGGAAACCGGAGAGGGATTTTCTACTTCTGGAGAAATGTCTGACCTCTCACGAGGCTAGAAGGGAGAAGAGGAAGGCATGAAAGTAGGGCTTAAAATAGAGGGGGAAGGGAAGCCATGCGTGCTGCTCTCCAAGGTGCTGAAACCCAGTCCACAGCGTGCATTGGGTCCAGTGACAGAAGGCAGGGGTGGGTAGCCAGTGCCATTGCCCCATGGAGTTTTGAACCAGGTGGGAGACAAGGCGTTATGAGAGAGATGAGAGATGAGAGAGAAACAGAAACAGCTCCTGAGAGTCTGCCAAGGTGACAGAAGATAAACAGGAGACTTCTGGTTTATCATCATTTAAAAAATACTGTAGTTTTCAAAAAAGAAACCACAATCGATCACGGCCAAAATATTGAGTGACCGGGGAGAGATCTGTGTTTGCAGTAACAGGACTGATCAAAGGTAGACAAAAACCAACCAGGTGGCACAGCCAGGTGGACAGAACCTCACTTGGCAGGAGGGAAGGAATTGGAGTGTCATGGTCAATTTGAGTCGCGGCCACGTGCTCACAGTTTTTCTCATCTATCTGGAAGGCAAAGATAGGATTTTTACACTGCTGCAGGGCGGACTGGGGTTGACACCACTCGGTTTGGGATTACTGTGCATCTGATGCTCTGTGCTTATCTCTGGTATGCTGCCCCCCCCCCGCACCCCACCACCACATTCTCGGTGGGGACTCCATTTAAAACAGCGAATTTCCTCTCAGAGCAGGCAAGCCCACTGCTTGACGTGCTGTTCTGGACCGCTACCCCCAGGCCTGCCCTGGGTCTCTCTCCCAGGACCTCCCGGGCGGCTGGGGGTGCGGGGCTGTCTGCTTTGTCCGAAACAGCATCAGCCGACCCCCAGTCCCGGTCTTACTGCAAGCACAACTCATGGTCTTTCTAGTGTAGCCCTTGGGGCAGATAATGTGACCAACTTTGCCTAAATCTATGCCTGTCCTTCAGCGCTACCTTCATGCTACATTTCTACGGTAAATCCACAGACAAAACTGGCAGCGTCATCAACAGATTACCTCAGAGCTACCACTGGCTGGGTATGTCCAGGTACCAAGCACCATACTATTAAGCTCCTTACACACTCTCTCTCGTGTAACAAACACACTCATGTTTCTGTCAGGTGATTCAAGCAGGGCTACTGCAATAAATTAGTCAGTCCTAATGCAGGTGTGGGTATCTCCTTGTAGATTACAAAGGCAACATTTTAATGCCCTGCTCTAAAAGCGCTGTTGTTCCATGAGCTGGGGGATGTTCAGGGAGCTTGTCTGAAAAATGGGTGCAATGTGTTCACTATAGGTTGGCTGATATCTTATATTTATGTCTTATATTTAGATAAACTGAGAACTCAGAAACTCCCCCCTGAGATCAGCGATTCTAAGTTCTGAGTTTCACAGCTCAGTAAAAATCTCACCAAAAAAAGGGAGGGCTGACAGAGCATGGCTGAGTGTGCTGCATGAAGTGAAGACATTAGAAACCATTTCCAAACACAGTAAGGGAAGGAACCTCTGAACATCAACAAAGCAAGAGGGCCGCGACAGAATAGACTAGAATCTTTTCAAACAAACACGTTTTTAAAAAGCTCATGGCCCTTTTTATTTTGCTGGGGGAAAACTATAAACATAAACCGATACTGGCTCGGAGTCAACTTCTGGAAATGAATGTCCCAAGCCCCTCACACGTGTACGCAACCAGCAAGGCCTCGCCTTTGATGATCGAGCAGAACTCGGATGCTCCCCCCGCCAGCCCCCAGCCCCCAGCCCTAGGGGAGCCGTGATTAACACAGCCCCAGACTTTGGGCCAGGCCCAGGCGGGGAGAAGGCTCATCTGATTAACCGGCCATCAGCAGCAGACAGACAGCCCGGAGCCCGGCACAGACCATTCAAATAATGATCATCATAAACAGCCCATTTGCAACTAAAAAGAAATAATTTTAATGAGCTTGAAGCAGATGATAGATGCAGCTGAGGCTCGGCCCGATGTGCGGAGAGAAAGGAAGCTGGGATGGAGCCGCGCCCGCCCGCCCGCCCGCCCGCCCGGGCATGGGTGGCAGCAGGAGGGGGCGGGCGGGAAGGCTCTTTGATGGAGTCGCCAGTCCTGCTCCACCCCCCAGGAAGCGCCCGCGGTCTGGAGGCTGCCCCCGCTCAGGGGGGCCTGTCACACTGTCTGCTGGGCCGTCGTGGGGCTCAGCCCTCCAAGCCACAGACCGACGAGCCAGAGGACATTTCAAGATTGCCCAGTCCATCACTGTCCAGGCTTTGACCACAAAGGTCTGCTGCAAGCCTTTTGCCATATTCCACCTGAACTACTATTTAATTAGTATTTATCTCGAAATGGACTCCTCTCTATCTTTTTGACTGACTTGTACACAGCTTTAACTTTGATTTTTACACTCCGGCCCTGGTCTAGACATGGAAATACCATGTTCCTGGCACCGTAGGAACTTCCCCTCCAAGAGACTACCCACGAGAGGCAGCTGCTATTCTGACCCCAGCACCATAGGTAAATCTTGCCTGTTCTTGAGCTTTATATACTAACCCCTTCTTTAACCTAATTAAGTGTTTTTGGAAAATATTTTTTGTTAATCACTAGAGAATCTTATGCCACAAACGAATGGTAGCCATTTTAGACATCCCAATAAAAGTATAATGAAAACAGGGCCCTCCCTGGTGGCGCAGCAGGTGAAAGCACAGCACTAAGAAACTAAAACCATTTCAGCATGAGTCCGATCCCCCCCCCGGAGGTGACCCACATGGCGCGGCAGACCTCTCCTGGCCCGCCCGCTGCTCCCCTCAGCAGGGTACTTTGTCAGTCGGCCTGTTCTGCTCCCCACTCTGTCTCTGGTGAAGCCTCTCACCGCCCCTGCAGCTCTGGCCTGTATCCCAGTTCTGTATGCATACATAATTTTTTTAAAAGTATAATGAAAACAAAGATTGTTGTTCATCTTTGTTATAAAAAAAGACTGGTTGAAAAGCGCCGGAGAGGTGTTAAATACAACAGAGTACCAAACAGTGATGTTCTTCATGTTAGGGCCAGAGGGTCAGAGAGCACGAGAAGGGGCCACTATTGCCCCAGTGCTCTGACTTCACTTCAGTGCAGGGATATGTAACCAGAGTATCTGGACCTTACTCTACCCACCCACACAGCCACCATCCCCATCCATCCCTCCAATGCAGGTGTGGGTATCTCCTTGTAGATTACAA